GCAAGTTTGGTTGAAGGGGCGAAATAACTTTCTAAAAGATTTTTTAAATTTTTCTACAGTTTGGATCAGTGTACGTGTGTATATGTGCTTGCGTGTGTGCGTGTGTATATGTGCTTGCGCGCGTGCGCGTGTGTATATGTGCTTGCGCGTGCGCGCGCACGCGCGTGTGTGTGTGTGTGTGTGTGTGTGTGTGTCTGCGCGTGTGTTTAATTATGCACTAATATGTGAATATACAGTCCTATATGAAAGGGTGTATATGGATACATCATATTTATATGAAAGACTATAGATTTCAAAAATCCACAAGGATCGATATATAGATACTTAATAAACTGAGATAGATAGATAGATAGATAGATAGATAGATAGATAGATAGATAGATAGATAGATGCTGAATAGACTTAGATAGATAGATAGATAGATAGATAGATAGATAGATAGATAGATAGATAGATATTAACAGAGTATTGAAAAAAATCTGTGATAGATATATTGCTTCCTAGATAAATATGTTTGTGTGCATTTATATATATGTGTGTGTGTGTTTGTGTGTGTGTATGTGTGTGCGTCTGTAAAGCGGGATTGAGAAAGAAAGAAAGAAAGAAAGAAAGAAAGAAAGAAAGAAAGAAAGAAAGAAAGAAAGAAAGAAAGGTGTGTATGCGCATGTGCAAATATACATTGTGGGAGAAAAAAAAACTATATTAAAAGTGCACTAATAGTCCCGAGAATCAGAATTTAGATTTATCCAGCCCTACACCGATATATCTTAAGATCGAACATTCGACCTCTTCACTCGCGACCACTAATGTTATCTGGTGAAAAGCCAAGGTGTGTAAACTAGAGCATTAGGCTAACTGAAAAAAAAAACAACTGGTGGCTAAAATGACCTTGTTTAAGTTAAGCCTAACCTACTTGGCATCGTGAACTGAACTGTCAATATTTACATTTTGGTCATATTTTTTTCAGTGATGAAATCACAATGAATTAATGGCAAAATTGCTAAGTGTAGATCTACGAATCATAATCGAATGTATCTAAATATGCGTAAGTATGCATCCAATCGATATCTAGTGTGGACTTTACTCCGTCCAAGTAAATTTAGCCGCCTATGGAAATAGACACGTAGAAGAATTGGAATATGGAATTCTCAAGGGTTACATGCATAAATGATCTAAGGCTGTTACACTTGCTTATGACATGCATATATATATATATATATATATATATATATATATATATATATAGAGAGAGAGAGAGAGAGAGAGATCAAAATACTTTTACAAACTTTGGAGGCAGATTCCTCACAGCATCACAAAGACAAATATATATATTCATGAATTATTCATACAAAAAGCAAATACAAAGGTTAATGATTTAATTGGCGAGAATCCGTCGTCGCGAACAATTCAAATAATATACAAAACCCCGAACCTGTTTATGAATGAAAAGATCCTTGTTTCTATAAATTTCTGTTGCATGAGTTCTTATTATTTTTTACAAGCTTTCGTCTGTTCCTACAGACATCCTCGGTATGGAATAGATTTTGTTCTTGTTTTTACTCTCAGTAATAATAATGTAGGAACAGACGAAAGCTTGTAAAAATAATAAGAACTCATGCAACAGAAATTTATAGAAACAAGGATCTTTTCATTCATAAACAGGTTCGGGGTTTTGTATATTATTTGAATTGTTCAGACGATGGATTTTCAATTAAATCATTAACCTTGTATTTGTTTTTTGTATGAATAATTCATGAATTTGTAAATTAATTGCACCTATATTGAAATATATATATATATATATATATATATATAGAGAGAGAGAGAGAGAGAGAGGGGTGCAGAGAAGATAATTACAAAAAATATATTAAAAACGAACCCACTGATAGAAATTAAGGAATTGGTCGAAAGTCATAATGACTACGAACAGTTTGTAGACTCTGTAGTTCTCATAAAAGAAAGAAAAAAATAAGTAAGAGAACTTGAAAAACTCATAAAAAGTTAAAATTGTCCTTGTACGTCAGATCCAATGATATATTTGATCAGCGTAGGGGGCGGGTGTTGAATTATACACATATATGTGAATATATACTTATATAGCATTAAATGAAAGCCTGTATATGTATGTATCATCTTTATATGAAAGGATATAGATTTTAACAATCCACATAGATGTGAACAGAGCATTGAAAAGAACTTTAAGAGTGAGGAGGGCCTCCTTTTTGTAGAATGGTGGAAAATGTCGATAAACATCAGACGTGTTGATATTTAGGAAACTAAGAATCCATAGATAGATAGATAGATAGATAGATAGATAGATATGAACAGAGTATTGAAAACCTGTGATAGTTATATCGCTTCCTTGCTAGATATATATGTTCGTGTACATTTGCATTTATATATCTATGCATAAATATATTAATCTAGAAATATCAAAACTATATATATATATATATATATATAGTGTGTGTGTGTGTGTGTGTGTGTGTGTGTGTGTGTG